TTATTGCACTTCACTGTTCACTTTCCCTCCATTTTAACCATTATTAATATCATTCTCTCCCCCGTAGTTTTTTAGGAAAAATTAGGGAGCAGGTGGAGATGAATGTATGCAGATGTGGTTCCCCAACGTAGATGAAGACCTCATGGACGAAACTAAACCCATGAAGAAAATTTCTCACTTGTCCTCGAAGCCAAGATCTGGGTGGATGTACCTTTTTCGTGTGGTGTGACCCTCCTATGTGTGAGAGATCTAGGGAGCTTATTCTAGGTCTATTACGGGCTAAGAGGGAAATGGCAGCACCCTCCAATCAACAAGACCAAATTTGTGGAAGACCTGACTATTCAGCTTTATGTGTGGAGTGTTTGTAAAATGGGTTTGTACCTAGGTATGTAGGCTGGGTTTGTGGGATGGACGTTTTTAGTTTCAGAAATTTAGGCTTAGTGTTTAGGCGTTGGGGGTTTTATATTATATGTTGTGAAATGTGGATATAAATGTGGTCGTGTTTGTACCATTTTCCTTCAAATGAAGTGCCATTTCTGTATTATATTCTAGATGGTACTGACTTTTCACATTTGTATTTCCATTTCTACCTTTGTTTAGTGAGAAGTTAAAGTTTAGATCACGCTCCAAATGTTTCGTATATGGTGCATCAGAGGTACCAAACCTTTGTTATAATTGCAGTTAAAGTACTAAACCTTTTATTATAGTTGCCAAACCTTTGTTTATCGTTGCACTATTAGTACCAAACCTTTGGTGATTGTTGCTTAAAAAATACAAATATTTTCACAAAGAACCTAATTGCCCCGGGTTCGCTGAAAACCAAGTGAAAACAGTGTAATGCAATGAATTCAGCCTCAACAATTCAGAACAAAAAACATATGAAATCACAACATTTGCTTCCATTCCATTCCACATTTCAACAAATACATCATTTACAAAATAATTCCAGTCAGCTGTCATTTTCTGCATGCATATTCATGTTTTGTCAAATCAACACTCCACCTCATTCCATCTCTCCTAGTTATCTCGAACTTATGACTACCTACGTAGTCTGCCTTCAAGTATCTCATCTCATCCTTAGCATTCTCAATGATTTTCATTACTCTTGGCCCGAATGCATGATCCCACCTCTGTGCTGATTCCATTTTTGCATTCATTCTTATCATTTGTTGATATCTTATTGTTTTCAGCATATAGATGATGGGCTTCTCTCTAGTAACAATAATGGAAGAATTGAATGCCTCATACATGTTATTCGAAAGAATATCACCCTTAGAATGCTCTTCAAAATGTGATCTACTCCATTGGGGCGGTGGTTTTCCAGTAAACCTGTTGTATGCATCTTCATTAACTTTACTCAACCTGAAACCTGTGGTGTTATTATTATCATCCATGAGTATATTTTCTTCCTGCTCATACTCTGGGTAATTGAAATCCTCTAAAAAACCATCTTCATATTCATCATGTTGCTCAAGATATGTGGAATCTACTTGCACATTAGATAAATGGTCTTCTTGCTCAACATGATGATATGTTTTAGTGTCAACATGTGTTTCAGTTTGCTCTGGTTGCTTTGGTTCACTATGTTGCACTTCAAGTTCACTAACATGCACATCACAATGTGGTTCACCTTGCAGCACTTCATTTCCCCAGACTGGACCAATGATTCACCATGTTCCATATCAGTTTGTGCAGCCTGCACATTTGATTGACCATGCTACACATCAGGTTAAGCAACATTCTCATCTGATTCACTATGCCGCACATGAGTTTCAGCAGCATGCACATCAGTTTCACAAGCCTGTAATTCTGATTGACCATGCTACAAATCATCTACTTCGTCAACAATG